GGAAAGAGCAGGAGGCCACAACCTCAGCTGTAGCCGCGGGGCAGCAGGAAGTAGCATCTGGCCTCAGGAGGAGAAACAACAGAGATCCAGATTTAAGATTAGTAACTGTCCAGAAGCTGTGAGGGGTGAAGAGCCACCTGGAGAGGGGCTCTAGGCAGAGAGCACTGGCTGCTGACCCATTTGGTTTCCAAACCCTTGGGCTCTGTCGGCCTTGGAGACAGACAGCTGGCCCACCTCACCGAACTAGTTAAAAAATACCAGCACTCCCAAGGACATACAGGAGCGAAGCATGTGCGAATGAGGTTGGGAGAGTCTATGACTCCAAGGCAGTATTTCCTCCTTCAACAGATGAGGAAACTGAAGCCAAAAGGAGGGCAAGACCGTGGCAGCAGCCGGCACATGATGGTCCAGCATTCTGCCCACCCTCCAGCCAGATACCAGGCGAGGAACTCCGGGATTGGTACTGGGCCCAGGCTCTAATCAGCTCCTTCCTCCAGCCCATAAAGGAAAGAGTACAGCCGTGATGCCCACCTATGCCCTATCCAGGGCAGTTTTATTGGTGTCACTCGTAAAAGGCCTTTCCCATCAGCCCCAAGCCTTTGCCTTCCCTTTCTGAGAAAGAAGTTGGTTCCTAGTCCTGGCCTCCTGGAAAACAGCCCAGTTGGTCTGATGCCGCTGCAACACATGTGTGACACTCGGTGCAGATCCATGTGCAAATCTGCGTCCAGCTTCGGGGAGCAGGAGGAGGAGGAGAGCCAGGTCTGTGTGGAAGCTGGGCAGAGCCCGGCTGGCTGTAGAGATGCGAGGGCAAGGTGAGCAGGCCCCAGATGCACCCCAGCTCCAGTGCCCACTGGTGTGGCTAAAGCTCAGGGTTGGGGGGCGGTATAATCAGAGATCCTGAGAGAGAAGCCCTTAGGCCAAAGCAGTAAGTGGAACAGGCCAGGGCAGGAGCCCAGGAGAGATTTCAGAGGGGGCAGCGTGTGTGCACGCACACAGCCCAGGGTCAGGAATACGATGTGCAAGGGGCCTTTGGTGTGTGGCTATGCCTCCCTTCCTTTCGGATCTGTAGGCCTGAGCCCCTGGCCTCCTGAAGCTGAGGGAACGCACCTAATGGGCGGGGGTGGGGGGTGGGGGGC